GGTTGGGACATCATCCCATACGGGTTCGATAAATGCACGTCCAAGTCCAAGTAATGCATGAGCTTGTTCATTCAGGGGGTACTTCGTTGCAACTTCATCCAACTGCTCCTGAGTTGACGCTCGACATCCATTTCTATGATGCAACATCTCCAATCCAAACATGCGCACCATGATCATCTCATCCCTCCAGTTGCGCTCTGCTGTGGTGAGGGTGGGTCCATGCATGTTCTCCGGCCCCTTTGTCTTCGTGATATCTAGGGGTGTGGTGAACATAGGCGCCATGTAGTCCACACTCTCTTCTGGAACTCCAGCTCGCATACATAAATTAGTAATTAGTCCCCCAAATGCATACCTTCGACCTCAATGTACTCTAGCCTTGCGCATGGCCAATTTTTGCACCGCTCTTACATTGATGGGTAGGTCCTTCATTAAAGCATAGACCAAGCATACACGATCTCTCGTCACCTCGGTAAAATGCAGCCCTGGTATCAAACAATTCATGACAATTTTTAGCCATACCCGAGCTTCCCGATTCATGTGAGCATAAGGATATGATTGGTGATAACCACGGTGCCCATGTCGAATCCATTTCGCAGTGGAGTGCGCCCCACATAAAGCATGTCGAATCTGTTAATACGGAGGGCTGATATTGATCCCCGTGAGGACATCAGAAGAGGCATCTGCAGTCCCAGTATTTGATTTATAGCTGAAGGTGTTAGAGGGACCTCCATGCCCCGCACAATTACAATGTGAGAACGGGCATCGGGCTTCCAATTTGCGTAGAATTCCTGCACCACACTAACATTACACTCGGATGGATCCTGAAAAATGAAACCCATGTGCAGCTCTTGCAGGCAACGCTTAATGTGTGGGAACTCCCTCTCTAGGTTGACATCATCAAGTATCACATCCGAGAAGTACTTGACTTCCGTGTGTGATTTGTACCACTTCTTGCCCTCCGATGTAACAGTCTTGGCCCCGTAGCGCTGAGTTTGTCCTCTTGGAACTGCGGGTGCCGGGGGAATTGTAGTGCCCGTTCTTACTCTCTTACGGCTGCTAAACACCACCGTTTTCCCCAACCTTTGTGTGCTAGACATGGTAACATGCAATTAGACAAAACTCATATCAGTTATTGAGGCTCAATAATGGAGGGCCACCCCATACCTATTCTTGAGCACAACTTCGCAAACACCATGGTACTCAGACTTCCCAATGGTATTTTCAGCATATGATTCTCCTAATGCACCCCAATCCAAACATAGAAACCCAAACATCTCAGATTCTACTCAAGAATTTGAACCAACACACATCCTTCTACTCCAATCACTACCCTCATAACCTATTTGCCACTCAAGACTTGTAGTAATTAAGCAGAAAACCACAAAGAACAACAATTTAAGCATACTAGACTAACTTAACCACCACCCACATGAATATAAGCCCTAACTTAAGTAAATCATCCATAGGAAGAAACAATAGAGCATAGGCTACATACATGTCATGTTTAGATCCACAAAAACTGAAAAACTTGGTGAGGAATTCCAACTTCGCGACACGGATTTGTTTTTGGGAAGAGTTAGGGTTGAAGGAGAAAGGGGAATAAGAAGTTTAGGAGAGAAAATAGAGTTGAAGGGGTGGATTTGGGGATTAAAAGGGAATAGGGGTTGGGTTCAACCATTTTAGTCGGGTAAAACCCAACTTTTTAAATGAAAATTCCCGAAAACTTACCAGGTCCGCGACGTGGAGCTGTCGCGGACATGCCTTGTTATTTTCACAGCTTTGCATGGGGCATCAATCACATGGAGGGAACAAGTCCGTGACGCGCTCCTGTCGCGGACTCCACTGGTTTACACGCCCAAATTTTCTTGGGGTTGTCCCCTTGCAGAAACAAGTCTGCGACGCGGTAAGGTCGCAAACTTCGCTGTTTTCTCGCCCCAAAAATTGTTTGTTTTTGCTCTTTACAAGTTACAACTTTTAAGATTACTACACTAACCTATAACTAAAATTAAACCAACTAGCCTATTCAAATAAAATACAACGGGACTATCTTCTAAATTACAAAGTCTCGGGTTACCTCCCGAGTAGCGCCTGATTTAACATCGCGGCACGACTCAGCTCCCCTCATTCATTGCTCAACTCTAGACTTTCTTCTTGTCGAATCACTTCTTGTCCGAAGTAATGCTGGATTGCCTTCCTTCATTCCATAACTCTATAGCGCCATGGTCAGTCATGCACACCACCTCGAATGGTCTGCTCCATTTTGATTTCAACTTACCTGGAAACAACCTCAATCTAGAGTTGAACAATAATACCTTTTGCCCAGGCTCAAAAATTCGAGGCACAATATGCTTATCATGCCATCGTTTGGTCTTCTCCTTATAGAGCTTAGCATTTTCATAAGCATGGAGTTTGAATTCCTCCAATTCATGTAGCTAACTCATCCTTTTCTCCCTGCTAGTTCTGGGTCCAGGTTCAACTTCTTCATTGCCCAATAAGCCTGATGTTCTAATTCAATTGGAAGGTGACACACTTTACCAAACACCAAGTGATAGGGAGAAGTCCCTATCGGGGTCTTATAAGCGGTCCTGTATGCCCATAAGGCATCATCAAGCTTCATTGCCCAATCTTTCCTTTGGGCATTCACTGTTTTCTGTAGAATCTGCTTCACTTCCCTGTTTGACACTTCTACCTGGTCGCTCGTTTGAGGGTAGTATGTTGTAGCTACCTTGTGTCTGACTCCGTATTTAGCTAAGATATTCTTCACCAATTGATTTATGAAGTGTGTCCCTTCATCATTGATTATTGCTCTAGGAGTTCCAAACCGAGTGAAGATGTGCTTCTTTAGAAACTTCGACACCACTTTAGCATCGTTGGTCGGCAGCGCCACTGCCTCAACCCATTTTGACACATAGTCCAGCCACGAGTATGTACTAATTTCCATTAGATTGAGGGAATGGCCCCATAAAGTCGATCCCCCAAACATCAAATATTTCAACCTCCAAGATGTTGTGCAAGGGCATCTTATGTCGTCTGAAAATAGACCCCATCCTCTAACATTGATCACAACTTTTCACATAACCTGCAGCATCTCTAAACAACGTAGGCCAGAAAAAACTTGATTGAAGCACCTTATGCGCAGTGCGCTCACCTCCATGATGACCCCCATATGCAGACGAGTGGCAACCATCCATCACTTGTCTCATTTCGGACTCAAGGAACACACCTCCTCATCATTTTGTCCGGCCCTTGCTTGAAGAGATAAGGCTCATCCCATATGTAGAACCGAGCATCATAAATATGCCTCTTCTTTTGATGGGTGGTTGCACCTGGTGGAAACAATCCGCTAACCAAATAATTAATAATGTCAGCATACCATGGTAGTTCATTCACCTCTAGCGCCAATAGTTGTTCATCAGGGAATTCCTCCCTAATCTGACCTTGCTCTCCCACATGTGATGAACTCTCCAATCTTGACATGTGGTCTGCAATCTAGTTTTCAGAACCTTTTCGGTCCTTGATGTCGATGTCAAACTCTTACAGTAATAGAATCCACCTGATTAACCGCGGATTTGCATCCTTCTTGTTGAACAAGTACCTGATAGCTGCATGGTCAGTATAAACAACAACTTTAGTACCTACCAGATAAGATCTAAACTTGTCAAAAGCTAAACCAAGGCTAGCATTTCTTTTTCAGTCACTGTGTAGTTGGTTTGGGCCACATCCAGTGTCTTGCTTGCATAATATATTGAGTGAAACACCTTCTCTTTCCTTTGCCCCAACACGGCTCCCACAACCACATCACTTGCATCACACATTAGTTCAAAAGAAAGCTCCCAATTTGGGGAAGTTAGGATTTGAGCTTCTATTAGCTTCTTCTTCAAAGCTTCAAAAGCTTGCATGCATTGTTCATCAAATACAAATTTCATTTCCTTCTCTAGGAGACTGCACATGGGCCTTGCAATGTTAGAGAAATCCTTGATGAATCTCCTGTAGAAACCAGCATGACCCAAAAAACTTCGCACCCCGGCCTTTAACAGAATTTGGGTGAGGTAGCTTTTCGATTACTTCCACTTTGGCACAATCAACTTCCAGCCCTCTCTTTGACACCTTATGACCCAACACAATCCCTTCCTTCACTAGGAAATGACATTTTTCCCAGTTTAGGACGAGATTAGTTTCCTCGCATCTAGCCAACACCCTGTCTAAATTCTCCAAGCACCTGTCAAAAGACTCCCCAAATACTGAGAAGTCATCCATGAATATTTCCACAAATCTTCAACCATATCATGGAAGATGGCCATCATGCATCTTTGGAAAGTGGCTGGAGCATTGCATAACCAAAACAACATTCTCTTGAAGGCATATGTCCCATACGGGCAAGTGAATGTAGTTTTATCTTGGTCCTCTGGTGCAATCACTATTTGGTTGTATCCTGAATAGTCATCCAGGAAACAATAATATTCTTGTCCAGCATCTGATCAATAAAAGGGACTGGGTAGTGATCCTTTCTGGTAGTTTCATTCAATTTTCTGTAATCCATGCATATTTGCCATCCTGTCACTGTTGTGGTTAGAATCAACTCATTTATTTCATTAGGCACACACTGAACTGGGCTGACCCACTTATTGTCTGAAATTGGATAGACAATACCCGCATCCAGCCATTTGATCACCTCCTTGCGCACCACATCTTTCATCATTGGGTTTAGCTTGCGCTGCGGTTGCACAATTGACTTGTGCCCCGCCTCTATGAATATCCTGTGCATGCATAAAGTTGGGTTGATGCCATATATGTCAGCCATCTGCCATCATATCTCCCTTTTCCTCTTCCTTAATATTTTCATAGATGCCTCAACCTGCAATTCGGACAAAGCAGAAGAAAGGATTACAAATAAAGATTCATTAGCACCTAAGAATGCATACTTGAGATGAGAAGGGAGAGCCTTTAACTCCAACTTTGGTGCTTCCTCAATCGAAGGCTTCGGAGGTGGTCCCAGGACTCTATTTAATGGCTCCACGAACTTGCGAAGCATATTCACATAGGACGTTAGCCAATTCCTGGGCTGCAACATCTCCCTCAATGTCTTGCCCAATTAGCACTTTCTCTAAAAGGTCTTGGGCTTCAACATATTTAGATGCCATAGCTTCATCAATGTCTGTAATTACAGACAGCTCCTCATATATTGCAGGCAACTTCATTATCTTGTATACATCAAATACCTCGACCTTGTCATGAGCCCTCATTGTGAGTCTACCGGCTGCCACATCAATTAATGCACCTCCGATTGCTAGAAATGGGCGTCCCAAAATAAATAGGACCTCTGGGTCAGGCTCAAAATCCAGAATGACAAAGTCCATGGGGAAAATCAGAGTTCCCACTTGAACTAAGACGTCTTCAATAACACCATCTGGCCTTGACACTGAACGGTCCGCTAACTGTAACATAATGGTTGTGGACTTGGGTTTTCCTAGTCCCAATTTAAGAAACATAGAAGTAGGCATTAAATTGATACTTGCACCCAAATCACACAAACCTCTTGCCTCAACACATTTGCCAATCTGTATCTGAACAGTGAAATTTCTTAGATCTTTCAACTTAATTGGGAGGCTGTTCTGGATCCTAGAACTGCACTCCTCCGTGAGTGCTACTGTTGCATATTCAGTCAATCTGCTCTTGTTGGCTACCACATCTTTCAAATATTTGGCATACTTAGGAATGCCCTGCAACACATCTATCAAAGGCAAGTTAACATGTACCTCTTTAAGGAATTCAATAAACTTACCAAAACATTTCTCCTCTTTTTGTTTCCTGAATTTCTGTGGGAAGGGAGGAGGTGGTTTTACTTTTGGTTCCTCATTCACCCTTTGTTCACTTGATTTTGCTTCATCTACATGTGTTCCTTTTTCTTCAGCTACTTTTTCCTTTGGCATCAACTCCTCCAATGGACGACCACTCTGAGTGATCACAACATTTACCTGCTTCGACTTCGGGTCGGTATTTCCTGGCAAACCCCCTTGTGGTCAGGAATTTTGAGCACTAGCAAACTGCCCAAACTGCTTCTCCAAGTTCTGAGTCGCCAATTGATTGTTTCGAACATCTGCTGCCAATTTAGCTTGATCCGCCATGATTTGTTTTAGCATGTCTTCCACACTCATATCACTTTGCTTGGCAGCCTGTTGATTACCATGATTTTGCTGATGGTACTTTTGTCCACTACTCTGTGGTCTGTATTGGTTCTGTCCTTGATGTTGGTTGTGATTGCCACCCCATGAAAAGTTTGGGTGGTTCCACCAGCTTAGGTTGTAGGTATTTCCATAGCTCTGGTGATTTCCTCCCCGTTGAGCATTACCTACAAAATGAACAGAGTCTGGGTTTGCTCCACATACCTCGGCTTTGTGATCTCCACCTCCACATACTTCACACCAAGTTTGTGGTTGATGTACCACATTAACTTGGGCTTGTTGTTGTCCTAGTGACATGTTGCTGAAACAAGTAGTCATCATATTCAGCATTGTTGCGATCTGTGCTAACAAAGTTGTCACTGCATCCATTTCCAACACTCCAGCAGTCTTCTGTACGATCTGTTTAGCTCCTCCACCATTCCACTCGGGGTTACCCTCTGAAATTCTATTAAGTAATGTAAACAGCTCAACATATATCTTCTCCAAAGTTTGTCCACCTGCAGCAGAATCAAGTAAAATTTTTGTGTTTGGTTCCAACCCTTCAATGAAGGTGTGGACCAACACTTCGTTAGCTTGATGATGATGTGGGCAACTTTGCAACAGGGACTTAAACCTGTCCCAAGCTTGGTACAAGTTTTCCCCTCCTTTCTGTCGGAAGCTTAATATATCGCTTCTCAGCTTGGCTGTTTTACCGAATGGAAAAAACCTTATCAAAAACTTTCGGGCAAGATTATCCCAAGTTGTTATGAAATTTGCGGGCTCAGAGTTCAGCCATCTTTTTGCTTCCCTCAGCAGAGAAAAAGGGAATAATGTGAGCCTCACATAATCAGAGTTCACTCCCATTGGAGTGTATGTGTCACTGATCTCGAGGAAATTTTGGATATGCACTCGTGCTTCCTCATGAGATAGACCAGTTAACTGCCCGTTTGTGTGCAATAGTTGCACCATGTTCTGCTTCAATTCAAACATCCCACCAGGTGCAGGTTTCTGTTACTTGAGGTAACATTGGTGGTTTGTGGGACTGCCACATCCCTCACTTTCATTTCTGCCATCACTACCGGTGGGTCTTGATCCTTCCTTTCTTCTGAAGTTTCTGGTTCACTAGCCACAAGAGGTACATGATAAGTGAGTCTTCTTTGCCTTCTCCGGTAACGAACAAATCTCTCCGGTTTAGCTAAAGGCTCTACTAAGTCCTGGTCGTTTTCTAGTGTGCAAACCTGACACAACCTGTGAAATGAAGGGCCAAGATCAAGTTGTCAACACTTATACAAATAATTTAGACCCTCAAAAATTAGATATCTACCGATTTTAAAGTCCCCGACAGCGGCGCCAAAAACTTGTTGCGTCCAAAAGCACACGCAAGTGCACGTGGTCACTCAAGTAGTACAACGACTCTTTCGAGCCGGATTATCGAATCCAAGGGACTTCAAATCACAGACAACAACTTTGTTAAGTTTAAAATAAATTTACTTATGCGGCAAACAATTTTAGAAACTTGACTATAATTACTAAGTTGAACAATGTCGCAAATTAAGCACTACAATCAAATAGTTTTAAACAAGAGAATTTCACAATATGGGAAAATAATCTAGGGTTGCAGCATAACCCGATTTCCGGCATGAAATTACTTTATCCTATCATTCGACACACTAACATCATTATGGATTTGCAAGGTTCATTTTAGGATCATGGTCTCCCAACCTCTAATCGCCTACCACCATTGACAGCCTAACTACATCGTTGAGCGGGGATAGACATGAACCAATGGCGGAGAATTAGGCTATCTTCTTGCATATTAATCAAGCGCGATATATAGGTATAAGACTATCTTATATACAAAACACTATAATTTTACTCTAGAGTGAACATACTTCTCACATTCTTTGGTCTATCCCTCTATTCATCTTTCGAGTTCAAGAGCAGACTACAAGTGTATCTTAATGTTGATCATTCATTAATATAGTTAAACAAGAATGTAAGCATAAATCACAAGAAAGCCCATCTCATGCTAGAAACAAATACTAATATACCATTAATTGTAGCTGCAACCCTAGAAAAGGGGACTTTAGCTACTCATAGAACAAAATATTATCAAGTAATAATTATGGATCATGAAAGAGTTTACCAAAATGAAGGAGCAGAAGAAAAGCCCTAGAAAGGGTTAGCCAAATCGCCCAAATCGCTACTCTCCCATTTTTCTCAAACTGGATATCCCATGAAACAATACACTTAAACTGTTTATAGTCTAAAATAAAACACGTGGCCAATTTTTGGTGTCCAGGTCCGCGACGCGAACTTGTTCTCTCGCCTATAGTTGCACACAGATGAACCCTCTCCGCGACGCGCTCCCATCACGCATTCCACTATTAAGTGAAATTCCATTTCTGCACACGCAGATTGGCTCCGCGACGCGGATATGCTCCCTCGTGGTGTATTTTCCAGCTTCTTGGCCCTTTTTCTCCACAACTTCGTCTTCTATTTTCCGACCTCTGACCAGGTGCCCTATCTCGGCTCATTCTTCAATGTTTTTCACCTTGAAACATCTAATCATATTGGTTAAAAAAAGCGACATCAGAAGGCCCTCAAAACTTAATTCCGACTACTAAAAAATGCTCTCAAGTTAGATATATATATGGGATAAATTGGTTATCAGGCGCATAAATACGCCCAAGATCAGGTCACAACATGGCAATGCACAAAACATCATGATCAACACATAGCCTTTTCTTTAATCCCCTTTTTTATTCATTAATATTTATCAATTGGAACAACGAATCCCTCACCACAATCCCATCACTCCTAACACACACAAAATGAAGGCAATACATGAATTCTACTAGATTACAAGGTTTAAGAGACCACTTATCTTGATTCAACCAACTAGTCACTCCAAGACTTGAGTCTTCCCCTTGCGATCAATGTCCAAAGCCACATTGTAACGACATGTTGTCGTCGTTATGAAAAAGTCAATGGAGAAATAATTTGGGCCATAAAACTTTTGAGTAGTGACTTGGAAATATCTAGCCTAGGCTAGATTTGGACGAAATCTAAGTCAAGTGAGGTCTAGAAAAATCTGGTAATGAATGGGGGGTTTAATTATGAATTTGATCACATAAGTGGATAGCCAAGACGTTAAGGATCCCGTATGGCTTTACGAAATCGAATTCGGGCGAGTAGAACTTCTAAAATTAATCCTAGCGTGATAGAGTAGGTTTTGAACGTCAAGGGTTGAATGTGTGTTGCGAAATGGTAGTTTGGAACTCAAATTCTGACTTTCTATCTCTGTGCAAGCCACCGGGGCGGGGTTAGTTCTGCTAGGGCGAGGTCGCTGTGGCGGAACAGTCGCGACTTAAATCGGAGAAAAACCTAAAAAATGTTATTTTCTGCAAAACTCCGTTCATGAGAGCTCAAGGATGGCCCAGAACAGCTCTTGACAGTTTTCCACGCTTTCTAGAGCTAAAGGTAAGATTATTACTCCCTTAATACGCAATTTCATTCGTAGAACTTAGAATCTTGGGTAATTATCATTGGGGGAGGGTTTTGGCCTGAAGTTAATGGTGGGAAAAGCCCTATTGAACATTAGGATCTTGGGTTTGGCCATGGATTTATAGATTGTTTATTATCCGGGTAAATTAGGCCTTGTTTATTGATCCTTGCATTAAATTAATTGTTTTAGACCAAGAACAAGCGGAAAGAATCTGGAAAGGGAAGGCTCAAATGTCTTAGGAGGATTCAAGCTTGGTTTTGAAGTAGGTGATTGTTTCATTTACCTATTTGTGTGATATATGCCGGTTAATTGCTTCATTGTATGCATGCATGTATGTGAATAAGGAAATGCGAACTAAATCTAATGATATGATTATGTTCGAACCATTACATGCCATGAACTGTTACTTGATCATGTGACTATATGTACTATTTGGTATGGCGTGTTTGTGATTGTGGTTGTGCTGATTGGATCGGGTGTCACGTTCTGACAAATACATTGGATCGGTGTCACGTTCCAACACAAATATTGGATCAAGTGTCATGTTCCAACACATACATTGGATCGGGTGTCACGTTCCGACACACTAACAGTTTGGGTGTGGGTTCCATGTGAGAATCACTTGTGATTATTATGTTAATGTCTATTTGTCATATTGGGAAGGTGTTTATTTCTTTTGAAATGAGAACTGGATTATGTATTTTGTATATGGGTGTTTACTGTGTTGTAATTGCTTGCGTGTATTTCGCTTACCAGAGTAGCTGCGTGATCCTACCAGTTCACTGTGGTTGTGTACTAATACTGCACATGCTCTTTCTTTGTTGAGTACAAGGCATCTTCAGACGGCTACTGATAGACCTGAGTTAGGAGATCACTGATCGAGACCGGATTCAAGGGTTAGTGTAATGACCCTCTTGGTCATTTCTGTGTCTTGTCTTCTGTGTGTCGTTTAGAGCGTTCCTATAGCGACCCCAAGTCATTTATGTCTTGCTAGGACTGACAGTTCGGTCACCTGGTCGTTCGTTTGGTCTTGGTGCGAGTTTTTGTGTTTTGGAGCTTATAAACCTTGAACGATCATTTTCGATCAAAAGTTCAAGAAGATGACATCGGAATCCAATTTTGACAATTTCATCAGCTCCACAAGGGTAATTTTAGGCTGGTAGCATGGTCGTCATGACTCCCGAGGTTTTCAGTGTGAGTCGGTGCGATTAGGCGTTTTAACTTTAAGTTTAAGCTTAAGTTTGACTTTGGTCAACATTCTGAATAAACGCGCTCGAATGAGAATTTCGTCAGCGTGGTTAGCTCCAGAATGTCGATTTTGGTCTAGATTGACCCTTCTTTTGTGTTTGGAGGTTTTCGATATCTTTCCGATCCTTTATGTGGGTTTTGACCTAAAATGACTTTTGGAAGTGGGACCCACTTTTTATCGAAATGACCTCTGATGGAAATTTCGACTGCGCCGTTGAGTCTGGAATATCGAATTTGGTATGATTGCATATCTCGTTTGCGTGCACGGGGTCCCGAACGAGATCGGAGCACCCCGTCGAAGTTTTTAGTTTTTAGAAAATTGCAGAAATATCTGCTATAATTGCAGATATATCAGCCAACTTTCCCAAACTTCAAACCCTCATAACTCTCTCATCACTCAACCGGTTTGGGCGATTCAAAAGGCAAAGTAGTGAGATTTTTCGAGTACAACGTGTTGGTGAGCTCGGATAGTGATTTGGAGTCCCCGTTTGAGGTAAATTTCGTAAAATACCTGCTGCCACGACCCTTTTTTGAGCTTGATTTTTGGAAGATTTTGAGACTTGTTTTCTCAGCCATTCTAGGTCCGATTCCAGTGTTTTTTGAGGCTATCTTGATTGGTTTTTCGAGGAGAACATCGTGGTGTTGTCACAGTTTAATGTACACCTCCCGTTTCTGGTAAATATGCTGAATTACCTGCTGTTTCATTTCTAGTTTTTGAGGAAAATTTGGGTCTTGGTTGTATATTGGTAGTGTGTTGTTCCCGAGCCCCGAATTGTGTTCCATTTTGGGATATGAGCTGGGGGAAACTGGTTAGGACCCACTTTTGGGGTAATTCAGGAATTTTCAGCGCGAGTCCCACGATTCCCGTTTTGACTCCAAAATTGACCCGTCTTCGTTTGTTGTGATTTTGGTGTCTAAACGACTGTAATAACGTTGTGATTCTATTTTTGATAGCGGGGCAGCGTTTCGAGGACGTTCAGAAAGGGAAAGCTTCGGAGAAGTGATTTTGGAGGGCGTGTGATTGGCCTGCAGGTAGGCTACGGTTTTCCTCTCTTAGATTGAACTTGAGAATGTGAATGCATGTTGATTAGTTGGGATTTGGGTTGGGTAGTTATTGAATCGTGCATAGGTGTTTAGAAATCATATTTTCGGCCTATTTCGAGAATTATCGGGTAATTGTGAGCATGCTTTGTGTTATTAATTGACCCTCCTC